GGGGGGGGGGGGCATCCTGTGTGCCTCCGCCGTGTGTGTCTTATTCGATATTTCGAAATATCGAGCATTTGCGAGGACTCGTGTGATCAGTATCGCTAGCGCTCCCCTTTGATGCTGAGAAATAAGTCAAATTTTATTTCATTGATACTCTTTTTTATCGAAATTCTAGATGATTTTTTAAAACCCCTTTTTTGTGTTCTTTTTTTACTCTTATTACTCTCTTTTACTTTATTTCGCTTTAAACAGAAACGTATTCGGCCCGTCACGTAATGCTTTTACTTTTCTATTTATAAAAAAGAAATAATTTCTGTCAGCAGTATTGACAGTATCGACGATGGCAATTTGGGAAAGAGGTATCCGAACTCAGTACGAAGATTTTTCCCTTTCGATATTGACTAAGCTACAGTCGAAGTGCGCAGTAACTTATATAACAGGGCAAATCACCCGGTTGAAAGGTCAACGTAGGAATTCTGAAAACTTGGCAGACGCCGTATGATTTCATAATTTATTACACAACCGGTTCTGGTTTCTTCCACTGTTCAACTTACCTAGCACGTTTATGAGGTTCGTAGAGTTGCTAAGTAGAAGTTTACTTCGAGATTTGTCTCGGTACCGCTCCGAAAATGATAGTAAATGCTTTTTGCGCACCCACTGACATGACCAGATTATAATAAAATAGGGAGCAAACTGGTTGGACCCTACTTGTCAAGGCTAACCGAGGCGGTAAGAGTTAATCTTCAAGATTGAGAAACTTAACAGACTGCTTATAACGTCACATGGGAGTCGCACTGACTTTAGCAAGAAAGCCAAATCGTCTACCATAACTCTTCAAACGGTAAGTAGAAAGAAGAGGTCTAGATCCCCCCCGTTTTAGGTAATGATTTAAAAACTGCCCGTTTTAGGTAATGATTTAAAAAAAACTCCCCGTTTTGGGTAATGATCTAAAATCGAGGTGGTTTTGGGTAGTGTTCTAAATGGAGCTGGTTTTGGGTAGTGTTTTTGGGTCGAGGTGGTGTATGGTAGTGTTGTATGTGTATGTGATTTATGGGGGGAAAAAAGTTGCGTTGTTTTAGATTGAGTAGAAAATGTTGATGTTGTGGGTTTAGAAGGGAAGTGGTAATGTTCGAGGTATCCCGTGTGGTTGTTGTTTCTTTTTTTGGTGATATGTTGGAAAAGCAGCCCAGGCGCCCGGGAAAAAAAGATGGTATGTTTTTTGTTTTATGTGATCCTGCCCCGCGAGTTTTTTGTTGATCTTTAAATTCCTTAGTATGTGTTGGTGACGTGTGTGAACACATGGTGTGTTGGAAGTAAACAGATAGATGTTAAGCTTAATACATTGGTTTAAAACGATTTTTTCTAGTAAAGGAGATGGTTGAGTGGAGTGAGTTGAACTTTTGTTAGAAATAAGGGCTTTAGTAATGTTTAGTGAGGTAAACTAAGAAAGTTTTATTGGTAAAGAAGGTGTTGGTAGTGTTTAGTGAGTTGAACTTAGAAATGTTATTGGTAAAGAAGGCGTTGGTAGTGTTTAGTGAGTTGAACTTAGAAAGTTTTATTGGTAATGAAGGTGTTGGTAGTGTTTAGTAAGCTGAACTTAGAAATGTTGTTGGTAATGAAACTGTTGGGAGTGTTCAATGAGCTGAACTTTGAAATGGAATTGGTAATAAAAGTGTTGGTAGTGTTCAGTGAGCTGAACTTAGAAATGTTATACAGACTTCAACATAAGTTAAGGACCACTTACAAACACTCTGAGTGGTCTTCTTGGGTCGACCTGCACGTGGGCGTTCTGGGACGGATCCAGTGACTTGATGGCGCTGCCTCAGGCGAACAATGACAGAGTGTGACACTGCCAGCCTTCTGGTAACTTCTCGGGCTCCAACTCCATCCTGCAGCCATGCGATATCTTTGGTACGATCAAAGTCTCTCAGCTTTCTTCTTGGTTGTATGTTGATTCGATACTGGATTGTGCGCAAACAGCGGCTCATATTGCCACCAAAGTGAGC